CCAGCCCCCCAGGAAGGCTCTGTGCTGCCAGGAGAGGGCACTGTTTGCTCCAGCCAAAGCCTGTCTCTGCTCTTAGAACTGTACATCTACCACCCAAGCTGTTGCTCAAGGTCCTGGGAGCCGTCCCTTTGAAACACAGACATGCAGGGGATAACTCTGCTCTCTCTCCCGGTCCCTAACTTCAGTGGGCACCTCGCTGCAACTGACACCCCTGCCTGCTGACATACACACGGGAGAGGTGTGCTTCTCCTCCAGAGAAGTGCCACTTCACAAATCCAGGGGTCTGGTCTCATGGCCATTCCCCCATCCCCCTGCACGGCAGCCTTTACGGCTCCAGTCTTGAGCTTCAGGGTTTGAGTGGAGTTCACACTGGATCTTACCGCTGCTGCAGTAATATAACTGAATGAAACCTGTTCCTACCACTTCCACTAGTATCCGGCTTTATCTCTGACAGAAGGGAAAGCCCTTCCTAACATTTAGAAGTAAATTTTACCGCAAGAGGTAGGAAGCTCCTCTGACTCCTTCTAATTGGATGACGAAGAGCGTGCCTGGGGATTTATGGTGAAACTGGAAAGCATCGAGCCCAGGCGGAGAGGCTGCGGGGTCCCAGGCCTTACTCCTGAGCTCCCCTCCTCCTCAGGCCTCAGTTTCTCCATATGCACAATAATTTTCTCTATCAGAACTAGATTCCAAGGTTCTTAGACTGGGTATAATCAGAGTTTGGGAGAGGGGGCCCCAGGGCTTCACCACCCAGGTGTCTGTTGGGCATCCCAGGGAAGGTTTCCATGGAAATGTCAACTCCTGCAGAGGGAACAGCAGCCCTGGACCCAGAAGTGAAAGGGGGTCTGGAGAAGGAAGAGATCCTGCAACCAGAGAGGGGAGATAGGTGGGATGGGGGCAGATGCGGGTCTCAGAGGTCCACACAGGCTCACCTTTGGAATCATCCATCCGAACTCTTGGTGGTTGATTCCGACAATGTATGGAACGGTGTTGAGCTGCTTTTCAGCCAGAAGCTCCTCCGGCATCTTCGGCAGCAGCACTCCATCAACCACAGAGGACAGGAAGGGCTGGCTCTGGGAAGAGGACATAACAGTGTCCATGCTGCCCTCCCTGCTCACACCCACGTCCTTCTCTCAGCTCGTCTGAGCAAAGCCAGCACCACACACCTGTGTGCCTGTGGGCAGTGGCACAGAGCTCAGGGTCTAACAAAGCAGCTAAGTCTCTGATCCCAGAGGGCAGAACTGGTCCCAAGGGATTAGCAGTGGGCAGGTGAAGGGGGGGATCTCCTTCAAATTGAAATATGCAAAAATATTATGTTAATATTTGTGTTTTATATAAAACTTTCAGCTTGAAGTGTATGTCTATCTATATGTATCTCTCTCATGATAGTCAATTCTCATTATTCACGGTGGTTACGCTCTGTAAAGTCACTGTGGAATCTGAGTTAGTGATCCCTAGGTAACGGCTACCAAAACCCACTGTGTACACTCAAACCACCAGCAAACTCCATCCCCAGTTCCCAGTTTCGTTTTCTCTGAAACACTAGCCATCATCAAACACACACCATATTTTAGTTGTTTACTGAACTCTCTCCTCACTCCTAGAGGGCCGGGGGTTGTGTCTGCTTTCTTTGCCTGTGTCACTGGTCTATCCCTCCC